TTTCAGGGGCGGATCCAGAAATGTCCAAAAGGGGGGGGGGGCCGGAAGGAGGCCGAAAGTTGGGCCGATTGAGACAACACTGTCGTAGGGGGTCCGGGGCATGCCCCTGCAAAATTGTTGTGTTCTAGACGCCCGAACATAACATTTGAGGCATTCTGGGCTATCATTTTTTTCTTTTTCTCTCTTTTTTTCTTTTTTTTTCTTTTTTTTACCTCCCAAAAGGGGGGGCCGGGCCGGCCCCCCCTAAATCCGCCCCTGATAAAATAAAAGGACAAAAAGATTACAATTACACAACTCCGAAGAGAATTATATACTCTTGAATATAATTTTAATTCAGAAAAAAAAACCAAATCACATGCAACAATCAATTGGGAACATATGCTGAATTATGTGTAATATAAAATTACAAGTAATTAATTATAAGTATTACACTAATTGGCAAATATAAATATATTAACCATTATTAAATAAAGTTCAGAGCAAATACTAAAAATCAAATTCGTCCCTCCAACATGTCTCAGTTCCCACTACACAACATTCTCTTCACGAATAGCTTTTTATCTTCTCTGCCACATTCTGCACCCGATAACCGTATACCTAACTCCATTATTATTCAATTCTACCGTATCACAGCAAGTTTTCTTTTGTTCGTTCATCTCTAGACTAGACCCCATGCTGGGGTCTAGGTCATGTATTTGTATTTTAGGCCCTTGGCACATTTACAAAACAAAATAACATTTAGAAAACAGAAGAAAACAAATCACATCTTCTTATAATAAGCTAAGTGAAGATACAGTATTTTGATACATTATATGAAACATTATAATCAATTGATGACATTATTTGATAGAACTTAAACATTTTTGGGTTTATACAGTATATGTATATAAGAAAGATGGAATTAAGTTTTTCCTAATGTAAAATGTAAACATACTAAAGTCAAATAAAATTCATCTTCTATGCATTGATATGAGCATCATTTCCATATTCTATTTGGCTTTCTTTAATTCTAAGTTTAAAATAATAATTCAAATTTTTGTTAAAATATGTCTATGTCAATGATGATCACTTGCTCTGAATACAGAATGGTTAATGGTAATAATAAGAATAATGAAGGCTGCCCTCATGAATGTATCATCATACAATAGTTGGTTCATCTTCAGGGTTCATCCAGTTCTGTACCAATGTTTCTCCAGCTGACTGCATCTGAACATCTCCTAGCCGCCCATCAAACATGCTAAATATTCCACCTGATGCACACAAAAAAAAAGAACATCAGAATGTGTTCATCTGTTTCCCTGCATACAAAAATACAAACCACCAATAATCACTAAATTTTATTCTACACACATGCACAACTATCTTTGTTTTTACCATGTTACACAGTGCATGTTGATAAGGATTGTTTAAGAATGGCAACCTTAGCAAGATGAAAAGTTGGAGGGATTCTCAAATTTTACAGCCCTTCCTCAATAACCACAAACATGGATACATACCTGAATGTAGAAAGAGTATTCGGCTGCCTTTGAACTTTGACCTGTGTTTCCTGAGCTCGTTGGTCAGTGCTAGTGCTGATTTACCAGTGTATGTGTGGTCAAGCAAAATCATCTAGATGTGTATAAGAGACAGCCTATTTAAAAATATTTTAAATCAGTATAAAGAACTGTCTACACACTATCACATTTCCTGTGACAGCTTCAGTACCAAAGAAAGTGTCCCTTTAATAGGAGGGGGTGGTGTCCTAAAGGAAGGGGGTTCTACTGACTTTTTTATTCATTCTCTGTTTTTACTATCATATCTATAGTATATACCCCAGTGGGGTCCTTTGTCAGCATCTACTCAGATTCAGAACTATCTAGACAAGAAGTTTTATAAATACAACAATAACTTATTTTTTTTTGTCACATTTGTTTTCTTACCCAATTCCTCTGGTTTTGAAATGCCGTATCCTAGTCCTTTTGCTCCCTCATGGATGTTGATGATGTCATGTGACCTCACCGTGTCACCTAAACCAATACTGTTGAGAGTCTCATTGATATGAGAGTGAAAATATTCCGCAGTGTCACACACAGCAAAGGCATGCACCCTGAAAATAAAAGCAAAGGTGTCTTTTACTACATTGCCTCTAAAACATTTTGTATATGTTCTATGATGACCGTTTCATGCATATTTTTATATATATTTTATCTACTGTATAATGTGATGGTAAGAAAAGAGTTTCCCTTTAGCGGAATAATAAAGACATCAGCTGCATTTAAAGGACAACGTACTAAGAGCGTCTGATTTAAGCCCTGTCAAGATTAAGTGTCAAACTTTGACCCTAGTACACTTAAGTTCACTCCATACATGTGTGTGTGTACTAAGTCATTATGTTTTAATAGCTGATGCCCTGCAGGTTTTTTACCAAATAAAAAGATCAATTTAATAAATACCTGAGATGGGATCCAGTAAGGAAGTTCCCAATAGCAACACCTGCTGTTCCACCACTGCCTACAGTTAGTATGACATCATCAAACCTGTCAGTCACTCCCTAAAATAATAAATCAATTAATTAATCTCTATTAATCAATAAATCTATCCATACATAGATTGCCTGGACATGGCTTAAGCAAATCACTCACTAAAACAATCAATCAATCAATTAATCAATTTAACAATCAATCAATCAATCAAAATGATAAAAAAATATATCCACATCATCAAACAACCAATTGAGCAATAAATCAAATTAAATTTATTAATTAAATCTATTATTACATTAATACATCATTAATGAACAAAATCAATTAAAACGATCAATCAATCAATAACATCATAAGCATGCTTGTAAGGAGCAAGTGATGCATCGTGTAAGGTATTGGACTACTGATCGTGAGGTGCAATGTTGCACTCTCATGTCCTATGTATGCATATAGGCGCAATTTAAACTCTTTGGGACTGGAATGTTTTAATCGTTTAAATTAATCAATGCATGATTAGAGCCCAGGACCCCTGGATTACCAGGCAAGCATCTCAACCGACAAGCTACAAAACTACTCAAAATTAAACACTGTTTATATATATGTACTCTATAATAGATCTATTAAGATTTGTGCTGGATGAAAAATCACATGTTTTAATATATTAGTTTGCAGGTAGGTTTGCCAATCAACTTACCTGTTCTAAGAGTTCTTGCCAGCCACACAAGTAACCATGGAGACCAACAACATTGGATCCGCCAATAGGGATCGAATATGCTTTAATACCCTTTTCCTCTCTAAAAAACATAAGGAAATAACATATTTGGCAACATTTTAATAAAAAAATATGAATATGCTTAACAGTGGGTGACACGTCCCCCGATTTTACAAAGTTGGGGGGAGGGGAATCATATCAATTGTCCCCCCCCACATTTTATCAATCTTCTATAGTTAAAACTCCACTTTTCAAAACGAGTAAAAAGTACAACAACAATTGCGAATGACTGTCATGAATTTTGTCTGTTCACTTGTGCTCTGTTTCAAGTGCAGTGCATATTTCCAGACAAAAATCGAGTAAAAACGCAGTTATTTTTTACATTTTGTAACCATCTCAGTAAACATAAATTTATTGTGAAAACAAAGTACTGTACGTTGTAGAAACTGAAAGCGTGTAAACCTATCAGGCCAACATTTTTACAAACTCAGAAGTGAACAATTTCTACTATAAATGATTTATTCCTTTTGTATATTAAGACCAGTATACACTAAGTGTTTAATATTATCTGCATACATTGCTTATCCTAATTTCAAAACATTATAGTTAGCCAATTGAATTTTATATAGCCGTTATTAAACAATAATTGTACAGCCTTCGCCAAGTACATGTTTATCTATTTCAATTTATTTAAATAGCAATATCAGTTCAAGTTCAAGAACTCCGATGTTTTGTTGACGCAATCTCGCCATGTCATGATAATGATAAATTAAATACAAATCACCTTTATGGTTGGGAAATAAAAATGCTAACTAATGTTTTGTGCGCTTCCATTCTCCCTAGTCCTGTTTGATCGTAAATTAGACGGTAGTACTTCCACTCATAATATTGTAGTCGCAATAGTACAAGACTGTTCCCCTCACCCTCCTCTTTCCACAACGGATCGACGCGCTTGTTCTAACAAAATCTGTACCATAATCTTCTGGTAGAGGAACGTGTGTAGAGGAATTTTTTGATGAAATATGCACCCAAAGGATGTCAGAACATGATTGACAAGTTGCTTTCCATTAGAATGTTAGTGGCAAGAGATCAACAAGATGACACAGGATGAAGGTGATGGATGCAAGAGGATGGTTTGATTGATTGATTGACAAGTTGCTTTCCATTTGAGGAAAATCAAAAAAAGTGGTCAAAACTTTCAACTTACTGCAGTCTGTCGGCAAGCCGCTGCATTCTGGGCTCAAGGTCGGTCTTCTCTTGAGCTTTTATGGGAACCAAGTACATGGATGCACCCATCAAACTGTTCAGTAACATGTTCCCATGACAACCAGTCTCAGAAAGGTTCTAATAAAGATGACATAATAAAGATGCAAAATTAATTGCTGAATGATTGAAAACATGAGATGAATGTGTTAGGTAATGATTTATACTTTTTATATTATTATTTTCATTTATTTACTTGGAGCCCTGGGGAGCAGTTGGTGGGGCATAGGCAGTGAGTATAAGCACAGCTTTAAAGAAGTGGGAAAAGTCAAGGCTAGTAAAAACACTAGACTCAAATTAGACCAGTGGATAGAGCAGGCGATTTTTACACTGAATGTCATAACAAATTGAGAATAAAGGGGTCCAGGGAAAGACATTCAGACCAAGGGTCCAACAACCATGGTAGGGCTGAGAAAAACTATAATTGTGGCACCTAGATTGCTGGAAATGGCTCTCTTACACTTAAATTTGAATACAATTTTCTTTTATGTTTTCTCCATTCTTTAAAAAGAACTTAAAGAAATATGAAGGGGCACATGTCAGCTGAGTCCCCCAGGGTTCCATCTTCAATCTGTCACTGATAAGTATTTACCTCTGACCTGGACCTGAGTAGAAGATGAGTTTCAATACCAAGTTGTTTAGCTGCAACTGCTGTTGTGCGACAATGGTTTGACTGAACTCCACCACATGTTATCACTGCTTGGCAACCAGTTGCTAAGGCTTCACCTAGTAAAAACTCCAGTTTCCGCACCTAATAAAAACATAAACTTATGACAGAGGGCGCTGATAAATTTGAATTTAAAAACAAAATGACTGACAGAGACGAAGCAGAGGACAAATAATAAGGACTTGTCCAGACTATCAAATATTATTTGACCT